AGATAGATAGATAGATAGATAGATAGATAGATAGATAGATAACATATAGTGTATATAATAGATAATCTAATTATTTAACTTTAATATTATCATTAAAATTATGGAATTAATATGCCTGGCTATAGCTAGTGTTACTGAATAACTCTTAAAACAGTTTGCTCAGTCTCTTATGTATCTTTACTAATCTCTTATAATGAAGAATTTATAAGAAATCTTCACTGATTTGTTTTATACTTCTTTAATAAATTGTGAAATTCTGAATATAACATAAAACAGGAAGTTTTATGTCTTTTATCAGTTGTGGCAGCTCTCAAAATTACTCTTAACAATACTCTTAACAAAAATATATAAAATATTTACCCAGTACATTACTGATTATTCACTGCTTTGTATAAATAGGCAAACCGATTAGAATTCCTGTTGTCAGATTATATTTTCCCGATTATTTAGTCCTAGTATCTAAAGTGGATCTGTTCATATATAATATAAGAAAAGTAGTTAGTGGAAAATAGTTTTGTTTCTTCCTAAAAACCAAAAGCAAGAATCTGAACTGCATTAGTTCTGCGTAAAGAAAATAGCAGAAGCAATCTCTAACATTTTCTTAGCTTTCTTTTATATATTGCAGTTGAAAGAATTTGTAATTTATAGTTTCTTGTTTAAACTTGCCTTAATTAACTTTAGATGTATTTAGTCACTGATTAGGTGCTTGAATCAAATATTGATTGTTATGAATTACTCTAATATAATTGCATTTTAATTAAAAATATTCAGTAAGATCTGTCAATAACTTGAATATTGAGTAAATACATTGTTAATATTGTGATCACATTCTTACAAAAAAAAATCCACATCAACAATTTCATATTTTATCCTAAATTATTCTACCATCTGCAGAACTATATTTAGGTAACTGCTGTGTAGTGCTTTTAGAAATAAGGTTAATATCAAATTAAATGTGAAAAAGTATAAGCAAAAGCTGTAACCATGTTATACACATTTTAGATACGGTGTCTGAAAGTTTTGAGATATTTATTGGAACATACTTTGTTCCAACAAAACTTTATTCTTTTCTTTTGCTATTGACTTTCAAATAAAATTCATTTTGCTTTTGCTGATCATTGTGTCTGTTGTTGCATGGTGAGTAATACACAGTTCAGTAGATGTCAGGCTGCATCCTGTACAAAGTTGTCCAAATGTATTCTGCTTACTGAGAATTTGATATTTCATTTTAGCAAAAAAAAAAAAAAAAAAGTTTTTAGTGAAGAATTGAAATAGCAGCAAAAGAGCGTTCAAGCACTAGAATGGAATGGAATAGAATAGACCTTGGAGATCTTCTAGTCCAGCCCCCGGCTCAAGCAGGAGAACCTATATCATCAGACAAGCGACTGTCCAGTCTCTTCTTAAAAGCCTCCAGTGATAGATGACCCATGATGGTTTATAGCAGTGGTAGTCAACCTGGTCCCTACCACCCACTAGTGGGTG